CTGTTTCTCAATTTTCTTTTTTTTATTCTTTTTTTTCAGTTTGTGGATAAAACAGAATCACTCGCCTGATCAAAAGTAAAATGGAGCAGCCCCGCTCGGTCCTGCAGCAGGAGTTGTGTCTCTCTCACCAGCAGGATGCGCCCCGAACAAAAGACCACATAGAGAAAAGAGAAAAACAAGTTAATGGGAACCAGATGTGGCCAAAGGCTGCAGCAGAAAACCCCCACTGTCATAAATCACTTCTTAGACAAGACAAAGGAACTCTCAGCCAGAAAAAGCTTCGAAGCACCCCCACTATTTGAATTCAGGCCCAAACGGCGCCAAGGTAATACACAAAAATAACAGAAAAAAACAACAAAAACCCCACATTTAACATAAAACACACATTTAGAACAGACAAACACACTGGTGTGTACTTCCTTGCATGAACAGAACTTTAAAAAAAAAAACTTTGACATGTGCCCTTTAACTCAATATTAGACGGGCCTCCACCACCCGGTCTTTCATGCTACCTCCCCAGCCTGTTTCGGCGGAATTACACAGTACTCAGGCCTCAAAGTCACTGCAACCGGGTACTTTATCTGGGCAAAATAACAAAAGGAACCAGGCTGAACGACTCCGTACACAACCACTCCCTCCAGCAGCTAACCCAGGCAGCGCAGACGTCTCCGTGCCGACTAGTTTCGCTAGCTACGGAGTAGCGGCTAACTCACAAACCGGAGATGCATCTCACACACTTTTTACTTCAAAATACGYGTATATTTACTTACAAACCGCCAGAGTACACACTTAACTCTGCGGCGGGCGACACTGTCATAAAAATAACAGAGAACTTAGCAAGGGTGTACACAYGAAGAACAAAACAAAGACAAAGACAGAACGTAGGCGGAGCCCAAACGCTGCGGCCTACCGACAAACCTCACTGAACCGCTCCTGAGCTCCAAAGGCATAAAAATCAAATAAACAGAGATATTACAGCCGATAAAACCTCCGTTAATCTGATATTAACCTTTTTAAGCGTTACAGGCCTGAATTCGTGACGCCATTAATGTAGTTTCTGGTCCGTTTCGGTTCTGCTGGGCCTTGTCGGTTGCTCGGACCCTCCGTCTCTCTTTGTCTGCTCGATGCTGCTTCGCTGCTGAGTTGCTTCTCCTGGTGGGTGGCTGGAAAATCAGAGACGTCTTCCTGTAGCTGCTGGATGTTATAAAACTCTTAGGCTAACATATAAATGAAGAAAGATNCCGTTTTCAGGCTTGCATTTTGTTAAACTGTGCAGCCGTGTCCGGCTTACCTGTATTTGTTAATTGAAGCCGTTTTCAGGCTTGCTTTTCGTTAAATTGTGCAGCTGTATTCGGCTCTCCTTTATATAATCCATATAGCAGCCTTTTCCGTGCTTGCTTTTGGTAATATTTTACAGCTATGTTCGGCTCTCCTTTATTTAATCCATATAGCATCCGTTTTGGTGCTTGCTTTGGTTATATTTTACAGCCGCGTTCGGCTCTACTCTTTGTTTAATCTCACTACAGCCTCGACTTACAGGGAAAACCCCTAGTGGTGTCTTTGCTCAATAGAGTTCTCTGGTTTGTTGGCTCACTGACGTCGACGTCAGGAGTGGCGTTCTCTGCTTGACCTGACGTGTGTATCCTTGTCAGTGGTAAAATGCTAGATGTACCATACTGCAGAGCTTGTTTGGGCCCTCTTCAGTTAGAGGATGGGCATGATCTTTGCCCCCCCCACTGTTTTGGGCTAGATCATCTTTATTATTATTTACTCAATGTTCTTTAACCAGGCAAGTCCTGTTGAGATCTCTGATCTCCTTTTCAAGGGAGGCCTTATTGTACATGTTTTTGTGAAAAAAAAAAAACATCTTAAGGAGGCTTTAACCGAAGCAGTGTGTCCCAACTGCTGCATCCTGCCTCTGTCTTTGCGAACTGCTCGCTTAGCAGGTCTGGAGTCTAAAGAGAAGACAGACCAGTCTCCGAAGGGCGCCACCCCAGAGACATTGGGACCCCCACAAAAAGATCAGGGAAAAGGCCCTTAGAGAGGGAGGTCGCGGCGGCCCAGCGGGGAACCCTGAGCCAGAGCAAACTCTGGTGTCAGGGCATCCGGCCTAGAAGAGGATGATATATCGCTGGCAGCGTTGTGTACGGATTTTCATGAGCAGCTTTACTCTGACTCATGTATGTCCCCTGCCAGCTCCCAGACCTCCTCTTGCCCTCAGTCAGAGGAGGATGGTTCCATAGTAGGTGCTTTAAAAACAGCACTTGCCTGTTTGCAGCTGGATGTTCCACAAACCCAACCAGCTGCTTCCAGTGCCCTTTTGCGATGCCCTACCACTAGGACGATCCTTCATGGTTCCCCCTTCTGCTGAATATGTGGAGGAGATGCATGCCTGCTGAGCAGACACCAGGGCTTTTTTACGACCAACCTCAGACGGCAGGGCTCTGGCAGCCGTGCAAGATGCACTGAGGCACGGCTTGGGCCACATGCCTTCGGTTGACCCTGCCATAGCGATCCTCATCGTGGCCCTGGATGAGGTTATGCGAACCAACGCCAGGTGCCCTCATCCACAGTGTCGTGTCAGAGATGACCTGCTCTGTGAAGCCTATGATTTAGGGGCTCGATTGTGACGACTCGGTAACTCAATGTCCCACTTGTTACGGGGTCTGTCGGCCTCCTTGGAGGGTGTGGCGGTTGATGCGCCCCCTCAGGGGTTAGTAGACTCCTCCCTTCCTGCCCTTGCCTTGCTTTCAAGAGAGTTTGGCAAGTGTTGCCCACCCTTGTCCAGACATGCTGCCAGGTTTGGCTGGCGCAGTCCCCCTTGTCTGAGGCCTGTAGGAGGACTCTGTTGAGCCTCCCTGTGGTTCCGGAAGAGCTGTTTTTTGTTCAGCTGCACTTGCAGCCTTGGAGCGCTCAGCTCAGGCTACCCGTACAAGGCAGCAGCTGGCCAGTCTTCAGGCATTTGCAGCGCCCCTTGGGGTTTGCTGCTGTACCCTTCTCAAATTTCTTTGCAGCCCCACCCGACACGTGTCATAATTAACTCGGGGTTACACAATGCACTTCTGCCGCCGCTCTCCTGTTCCTGGTCAAATCAGAATGACAGTCATTCACGACMAGGTGTAAGCTCAGGCGCTAAACCTAGAAATAGACACCTTGCTGGCCAAGGTGCCATAGTGCCTGTCAACCCGCTGCTGGATTCGGGGGCTTTTACTCAAAGTATTTTTTTAGTCTCTTAGGGTCATTCCATTTCACATGTTGACCACTAGGGATGTGCTTCAGGCCGTTTCTCCAGGCGACTGGTTCACCTTGATTGACCTGAAGGACGCCTATTTCCACGTGCCCATTGCACCCCACCACTTAGGGCTCCATGCAAWCTGGTAGAAAAGCAACCTGGCTCAGTCTCAGAAGGTCAATTTTCTCGGTATCGGGGTGAACTCCCTCACAATGACCACTTGCCCATCACTGCAGCGTGTCAGCGGGATTTTGCAGATGCCTTCCTGGCTGGACAGGCACCCCCCTTATTGCCTATCTCCGCCTATTAGGCAAGCTAACAGCAGCCTCTACAGTGGTCCCCTTAGGGCTGTTATATCTATGCCCCTGCAAATATGGATCAACAGTCTAAGGCTGGATCTGACCAGGGCAGTACACCAACGCAGGTGGTTGCAGGTATCCCCCCAGTGCCTTGCAGCATTAGCTCGGTGGTGAGATGCTGCGTTTCTGACAAAATGGGTTCTGCTGGTCTCTTCTGTCTCTGAGAGAGGCTGTTTATGCCAGTGCGCCCACCATGGGATGTGGGGCATCGTGGTAGTGACCGAGCGCGAGGGGGATGTGGTCCCCACACCAGAAAATGTTACACATCAACATCTTGGAACTAGAAGCCATGCGGCTGGCGTTAACACACTTCCTCCCAAACTTATGTGGGAGACATGTCTTGGTGCAGTCCGACAATATAGATTGGTCGTTGTTTACATCAATCATTTGGGGGGGAACAAAGTCACAGACAGCTGCTGAGGCTGACCCAGAAGCTTTTGATTTGGGCAGCACCTCACATTACCAGACTCRGGGCAGTTCACATCCCAGCCAGTCCACTGGGCCAGGATGCACTGGCTCACGGCTGGCTCAAGGTACTACTTTACACTTCCCACCACTTCCTCTGGTGTAGCCGACACTTCTGAGAGTCCTTCAGGAGGGCCACCCAGTCTTCCTAGTGCCTTCCTTCTGGCCCGGGAAGACCTGGTTTCCGTTGCTGCACAGGCTCTGTTGCATTGCTGCACAGGCTCTGTTGCAGCTCGCTGATGCCTCTCCCCCCATAGGAAGGACCTCCTGTCACAGCTGGGGGGTCAGATCCTACACCCCAATCCCTGTCGCCTTCGCCTCTGGGTTTGGCACTTCAGGGCCCGGTGTTGCCTTCTTGGATTATGACAAGGAGGTTAGACATACAATGATGAATGCCAGGGCCCCTTCCACATGACGGTTTTACACCCACAAGTGGAAGTTTTTTTTTAGCAGCTGGTGCGAAGACAGACACAAGGACCCTGTGCACTGTCCTGTTTCTGTTATTCTTTTCTTCAAGAGTTACTTTCCCAAGGCAGGTCTCCCTCCACCCTGAAGGTGTATGTCATTGCCATSTCTTGCTGGCATACCTGGGTGATGGAGAAACTATAGGCCATAGCAAGGATATGTCCTTGTTTCTGAGAGGCGCCAGACACTTGTGCCCTCCCACACATCCTGTTGTGCCTGTGTGGGACCTGTCTTTACTGCTCCAGGCCCTGCGATCAGTTCCATATGAGCCTTTTGACAGAGGTAAGTCTGGAGTAACTGCCTAAAAAGTTGCCTTTCTTTAGCCATGGCTTTGGCCAAACGCTGGGTGAGATGCACACATTTTTTCTGTTCACGAGTCTTGTTGCCGATGGAACCCCGCTGGCTCGGGCGTTACCCTCTGGCCTAATGCAGCATTCCTCCCTAAGGTGGCCTCGTCTACGAGCCACCCTTGCTCGCTTCGAGGCATGCAGTGCTGCTGAACCTCTTTGCCCTGTTCGAGCRCTGGAAGAATACATCAGACGGACAGCTTCTCTGCAATAGTCTTGAGAGCCTCTTTTTCTGCTACGCGAGGCCTCCCAAAGGACAGGCCCTTCCAAGCAGCGCATTGCGCGCTGGATTGTGGACGTAGTGGGATGAGCATATGCCCTACAAGGCCATCAACCACCAGCAGGTGTGCGGTGCCATTCTACAAGGGCTATTAGTGCATCATGACTGTTATGAGTGTGGTCACACTGGAGGCCATATATTCAGCTGCTTCCTGGACGTCCCCAAATACATTTGCTAGATTTTACAGAATAAACCTGGCTGCCTTCCACCCATTGGAAGGAATCCTGTCGCAGCACCATTCCTCTTGAAGTGGGCATAGCTGCTATTTTTCTTTCCCTAACTTTCTTGTGTGGGCGATTCCTTAGGACTCTGTTGGTAATCGTCATCCAGTGCTTTAATCACCGCCTCTGACGGTCAGTAGGGATGAAATAGAACAACAGTTACGACTGTGACTACGGTTCTAGGAATCCCAGATGACCGCCAGTGTTTGGTCCCTCGGAAGCATCGTGTTTTTGCGAGAAGATTAAGGAACGGAGCTACCGTGTCACATGACTATATAGACTACCGGTCTCACCAGGGGTCATACGTGACCATGTTGGTATAAGATTCTCGACCTGTGTATGCACAAGAGTGAACATTCAACCGTGATACTGAAGCCAGGTTAGTTGTCTATTTAGTTGAACACGGCGTTGAATGGACATTAAAAAAAACAATAAACATCACGTTATCCACCTTTTCTGCTCTCCTTTCCTCCTGCGTTACAGCAGGCGCTGTCATCTCCACGGACGTCAGACCCCCACCCCCATGCGCGGGTACGAGTGGTGGTGGTTTTTAGCAAAAATTATAGATATTTGAGGCTCATTAGACAGGTAAACGTCCAAAGGGGTTGACATAATGAACACCTTCCCAGCTGGCGAGGGTGCATGCGTGCCTGGCACGAGCTACCCAAAGCACAAGCCTGCTGCGCTACGACCACAGCTCAACACTCAGCATCAGCCAGAAGGCTACAAACAGAAAAAATAATTATTCTTACTGTACAGTGAGCCACCATTTGCATCCGATTTTACTCCCTCCCTTCAGCCTTTTTTATTTAATTTTTTTATGCCGCACTTAATGTGGCGGGATTTTCTAGCCCGGGACCCAAAATAGTTTCCAACTAGGCTATGTGACAAAAATATAAAGACAGTTTACAGCAGACTGGGCTGAGGTTCTTTTATTATTTTTAGGCTGATCTATTTTCTTGTCTGAGCTTAAATGATTTTCAGTCCCGGGGTTCAGTTTCATGATCGTTGGAGTTTAAACAATAAAAATCAAACCAAAAAATAAAAAATCTAACACCGTGTTCAGACGCTCCTTACATCCAGAAAACACAACAGAGTCATATTTCTGTGGATTCAGGTCAGATTCATGACATTGTGGGTTAAAACTGTCGACTGAAAAACTTGGAGTGGCTGCCGCACATTCTCACAGCAGGTGAAAAGTGTGCGTGWATTTACGCACACTTTCACCCATCATTGGTTTTGATACATCCCAACGTGGGCGTAGAACCTGGCACACGCAACTTTTTTTTTTGCGTACGCACCGTTTATACATGAGGGCCCTGAACTTTATTTGTGTTTGTAGACTCCATGACACAAGAGCTGCACAAACACTTTAATGGAGGAGAGAACGCTACATGTGAAGTCTAAAATGTCCTCCACTGTCTGACTGTCCCATAGAAGAGGACAAACTAACATTTCCCCCAAAAGCAGCTGATTGTTGTCTGCCCTGATGAGCCTGTGGAGCATGTTCCTTTCTGAGGGGCTGCAGCTGCCGGACCACCRGTCTGTACTTAAGTACGCTCTCAAGGATCAGTGGTAGAAGGTGAGGGGCAGATTTGACTAAAGATGCTTTTTACTGAGGTTTCTCAGGAAAAACAGCCTCTGATGGAGCTTTTGAAGTAGCACTTTGGTGTTGGTGCTCCAGGTCAGCTCATCCTCCAGCTCCATGCTCAGAAACCAGAACACTGGTCCCCTCTGCACACAGGTCCCCTTTATGATGAGGGGCCAACAAGAAACTCTACTTTATTTCTGCTGACTCTAAAACACTTCTGTAGATTTAGAGGTTTTATTTCTCTCTCCATTTATTCTTTGTTTGACTTTTATTTAGTAAAAGAAATAGAAAAGATCACAAAAACATTTTGTTTGCAGCTGCAACACAAATCTTTAAATATTTCATAAACAAGAATCATTCTTTTTAAACCTTTTACAGCAGATTTTCTTCAGATTTCATACTAAAGAACTGTTCAAATGTCACATTAACTTCATTAATAGTTGCTTCACATAAAAGTCAAAATATCTGCATGTTTATGTAGGTTTAATCCATAGAACATGTTTTGCTCAACTATTTTAATACAATTATTTCCATATTTATTATTCATATTCCTGAATTCATTCATGCATTCCTACAACTGTTCATATTAGGTTAAAAAAAGAAAATGTAAAAAATAACCTGCACTGTCAAAAAGTAAGAATTAGCATAAAAC